CCACGGCCCCTCCTCTGTACTTTGAAGCTTTCCTTACTCGGTGGGAGGGTGGAAGCTTCGAGTGCTGAGCAGATGATGGCCAGAGCTCCTGAGCATCAAACAGGAGATAGGTGGCTACAGAAGTGTGAGCTGTCACACTCCAGTCTAGACCTGGGCTACCTTTCCCTGAGCACCTTACCAGCTTCCCTCGCCAGTGCCAGCTTGATCCGTCCCTTCCCCCCACCAGTCCCCATTCTCCACACTCCGGGGAGCCCGGGGTGAGGTGTGTTAGGTTCATCTTGGTCTCCTTTCCTGGTGTCACCATTTTCCTTACACTTTCCCAATTCAATACCACTCACCGCCTTTGGGAACGTCTGACGGCTCCCTCTGTCTCTTCCCCTCTTGGGAGTAGTTTTCCATCTCTTTTAAAGAAAGGGACCTCGGCTCATTTCAGGCACAGGGACCGAGGGATCCAGATGCGGGTTCCTCGGGTTGGTAATGATATTAGAAGTTGGGAAATGCTGTCTTTGCGAAAGGAAAAACCAAATAGGTCAGGACCACAGAGAGAAGTTTCTCTAAGGAAATACTTACTGTCTGCTGTGACCGAGGCATTGTATCTAACAGCTCACCTGTGGGGGAAATTATAGCCATGTCACCAGAAACTAATCACGAGCCAAAGGAGACCAGGGCAGATGGAGAATTGCCTTTGTCTGAGGACTGACCAGGGTAACAAGCAGTTGCAGCAGACTACCTCATCCCAAAGCCTCAGGAGGGGCACACTACTTCACACACAGCTCCAAATGAGGGAAACCTGGATGCTAAACAGGTGGGAAAGGATGGGGTTAACACTCGGTGAGCCAGGTGTGGGGACATAGTCCGGCCACCCCAGCATTTGGAAGGCAGAGGAAGGAGCATAAGAAGGCTCAAGGATGCCTTTAACTCCATAGTAAGCTTGAGACTAGCCATAGCTACTTAGGAATCCTACCCAGAGTGAGAGCTGGTCTGAAAAACAAAACAACAGCAAAAGTAACTGCACTTTGTACACAAAATGCCCCATTTGTCATTGCGACCTTGAACAAGCTAGTTTAGATTTCTCTAACATCCCTGTCGGTTTAATTTTTAAAACATTTTTTATGTTGGGGCTGGGGTGGGCATGGGCATGCATGTGTGATGGCCTGGCTGTGGTCAGAGGACAACATTTGGACTTGACGTTTTCATTCCACCTTTATGTGGGTTTTGGGAATCGAACCTGGGTCGTCAGGCTTCACAGCAAGCCCCCCCCCATCTGCTGAGCCATCCCACTGTCCTTCAGTTTTCCCTTCTGTGGACTGGAGATGAGATGATAACGCTTGCTCATCTGGACCGATCGGATCCTGACATTTGCCAGTGCATTGGCCAGGAGGATGATAATGCTGAGTTGTGTGTCTGTGTCCTTATGGTCTCTCCCCCAAAGGGATGTTCAGGTAGGAGCTCTGATGTTTTGGGAAAACCATCGGTCAAAGTGACTGAAAGAGAAGAGTTTGTATGACAGCTTTTCTTGAATCCTCGTCCAGAACACTGTTAAGACTTGATTTTTAATGGAGTTTAAAATTACATCCATCTACAATGATCTTCACATAGAACTGAAAAGGACTCTGGGAAGGCTCTGAGATAGGATTCTCAAAACATTTAGACATAAGTAAATAAATAAATAAATAAATAACCTGGACAGTTATTTGAGGAATATGGAAAAGTAATGATTATTAAGAACATAAGTTTAATTTTTTAAACACTTTCATTCCATTCATAACAATATTGACTCCACCAAGTTGCTAGAATGTTAAAGACTCTTTATTTAACCTATGGAAAGGGCAGAGTCCGTGGGGGAGAGAATCGACATGGTTATTTTCCCTGATAAGACAAGAAAGTAGTTTGCGTTCAGAATCCACCCATGTGCTGAGAGCTCCCCACAGCCAGGCGTATCTCTCATGTCACGTGAAATCACAGCTTGCCTAATGGGAAACTTGATGAGCATTTTCCTTTGATGTTTCCAGAAACATGGGTGTGGTTCCCCTGATCAGAGCCCAGACTTGCCATCTGGTAGAGAGATATGTCTTTTAAACCTGTTTTGCTCCCAAAACTGCATAGTAAAAGAATGCTAGCTGAGTTAGGTTAGGAATGTCTTCGGTACGTTTTAACTGCATTTGGTTATCCCCTGAAAAGCTCTGCATCAACGGTGCCAATTGCAGAAGGGGTCCCGATGAACTCTTAGATGCTTGCACCTCACAGATTCTGCCTCCAAGATCGGAACTTTCTCCTTCCTTGAAATACCACAATAAATTGGCACCTCGTCTGACTCTGACCACGGGTAGAGAGCAGATGTGTTCATGGCTGGGGAGGGGTGGTATCTAACTTGTTGTATGATATAATCACTGGGGAGGTCATGGTCTTCCTGCAAATATCTCCTAATGTAAAGAAAGTACGTGTCCCAGAGCTGGCCCCACCCACCACTCTGGTCCTCTTTGTCAGCAGCAATGGTGGCTCAACCCGGGTTCCTCAGCATCTCCTCTGGGGCAGGGTCACTTCTGGGGGAAAATGCTGTGACAGGGGTTGCAGTCTGCTTCTGGCTGGGTTGTTTCTTGATGTGCCTCCAAGAGGAGAGTCAGAAGCAGAGCTAAAAATTATTTTGGAGGTTGTACAGATTAGAAGAAAAAAAAAATAGAAGCCCAGAAAAAGGTAATTTACCCAAGACCCAACAGCAAACAAATTATAAGACTGATGCGTTCGAAAAGCTCAGGATGCAGACTGTACCATCCCCTTAGAAACAGAAGGGGATCTGTGTGGACAGGGGTTAGTACCCAGCCATCCAGTCATCAAAATCCTATTTGTGCAACACGGATTTGTTATATATGATGGGGAACAATGAAAGTTACTACAATTTGAAATGCATTTGTATTCATGTAATTTAACAATGTCTAACTTAGGGGCCGCAGCTTCATCATCTTGAGTAAAACATGTCTGTGTATGTTATACACTCATTTTGAAATCATTGCTAAGACTAGGGTGAGCATACGGAGAACAAAACAAAACAAAACCAAAAACAAGTTCTCCCTCTCACCTCACCAGCCAGAGACGGAGCCCGGCCTCAGCAGACTAGGGTGTACTTCTGTGTGGTTTTAACTGCTGCGGTTGAGGGTTTGATTCCTGGGCGGAACTTTTGGTCTGGAATAAGAACGGGAGGGTTCCTACAGATGGGTAACACTAGAGCTGACTCTCAGAAGGTGACTAAGGACAGAGGACACTAACAGGAGGTGACAGTGTGTGGCGGATCTGAGGGCCATCTCCCGGGACTCCGTGGGGATGGGCAAGCAGAGTTAGACCGAAGAGCTGTGCCCATCATGGTCACAGGTTTGAACTGTAACGAAAGTGATGGGAAGAAAGGCTTCCCTCGTGAGATTACATGCCGCAGGTGGAACAGTGAAGCCGGGTTTGGTGGCACCTACCTGTCATCCTGGCTCTCAGTGGATTGGCCCGGGTTCAGTGCCAGCCTAATTTGTGGAATGAGTCCCATACCAACCAGAGTTACTTAGTGAGATCGGTCTCAGAAAGTCATTGGCGGGAGAGTCTGGGAAGATGGTTCGCTCAGTAGAGCACCTGCCCTGCAAGCGTGAGTTCGGCTCTCCAGAGCCCAAGTAAAAATCTGGACCTGGTGGTACAGTTTTGTAATGGCGGTGATAGCGAGGTAGGAGGTGGAGAGAGCTGGATCCCCGGGACTTACTGGCCAGCTGGCCTAGGCTATTTGTCAAAGTCCCAAGCCAGAAAGAAATGCGCTCACAAAGTGAATGGTGCCCAATGAAGGACACTGGGGTTGTCCACACATATGCATATGCATGCAGCTGCACATATAGACAAAAACAATAAACAAATAAGGGAATGAATGGACAGGTCAGTGCAGATCAAACCAGGCTATTCCTTAACGTGAGGCACCTGGGTGTACACCTCAGAGGAGACTTACGGAATCACTGCAGTCTAGTTGTAGAGCTGAGGGGGTCTTAATGTTCTTATCTGTAAAATTAGCTATGAGAAGAGCTCAGGCTTGTTATTAACAGCGGGTAGGATGGTCGAGGTTCACTTTAACATCTGCAGCTAAGAGCCGTTCCTAGTGTTGGCCGAATCTGTATCGCTTCATGCACGCTTCTCCCGGGAACAACTTTGGAAAGCTGTCAGTTAAGTTAGCAAAGTATGCTGATTGCATACTTGAGAGGAATCTTTGCCGATTCTGTTGTCCAGGAGAATGAGGGAATTGAAAACTTGAGTAGGCAAAGTAGCGCCTCAAAAGCAGCTGTGAGCTGTTGGTTAGTCCAAAGTAGGAGAAGGAAATATGACGACTCACAGATAGGAATCGGGAATACTAATTATTGCCCCTCCCCCTTGCCCCCTTCCGTTCACCGACAGATCCCTGCAGAGACAGAGAAAGTGTACTTCACTTTCCATTTGCTTTAACGTCGTAACTCACCGTTCATAAAATTCCCTCATGTCTTAGTGGCTGAAGGTATTTTTGCTACTGGATTGTTGTAGTGGTTGTTTTGCCATTGTGCCAAATCAGAAATTTGAAATGTAGTTAAGCAGTGCCAATTTGGTTGTGTCTAAAGATTATGTCAAAATTAGATTTGTTATCTCTAAAATTCCCATTTCCGTAGTGGGCGAAATGACTGTGGGTCCTCATGGACTGCCCTAGCCAAGGTGCTTCAGCCCCTTTGAGATGGTTTTGTGATCCTTTGCTCGCGAGTGTGATGTCTTCGTCACTGTTTAGCACCTTTTCCTGTCTTGAGATCAAAATGGTGGTCAAGCGTGATGGGGGAAAACCCTCACGGCCACTGGGATGGGTGTTCCATGCTGACAGACAATGCCTGCCACTGCAGCCTTCCCATCCTTCCCACGCCACGGACTATAAATAAGCGACATACTTGAGACCCGGAAGGGCCCAGTTGGTTGAATGCCCTGTAGACTGACAGGCTCGCTCCCTGTGTTCTGTTCTACAGTGCTCCTATATCCCGCCCTGTAAGAGAGAAAACCAGAAGAACTTGGAGAGCGTCATGAACTGGCAACAGTATTGGAAAGATGAGGTCGGCTCACAGCCATTCACGTGCTATTTCAATCAGCATCAACGGTAAGTTAGTGCGTGTATGTGCCCGTGAGTGTTTGCTCGTGGGATTGTCACATGGGTCAATCGGAGTCTGTGGCCATCTGGAGAACGTAGGTGACCTCAAGCTCTCTGTGGCCTGGGATCTCCATTCTCTCTACCATGAAGAGGAGGCCACATCCTGATCTGCTGGATGGGAGACACGTAAAGAACGTACAGGACAGAGGGAGAGGGGCGGGGCGGGGCAGGGCAGGGCGGGGCAGGGCAGGGCGGGGGACATGTACCCTAGCTATGCCTTGTGGACACACTACAGGTGGCAGTATATTTCTAAGGAACATGGTGACCGCTGGTGTGCTGTAAGACTTAACAGGCGTGCTGTGACGCATTTGGACCCTTCTTTGTCCTTTCGGTTCTGATGAAGTCTCAAAATGTCTTCACACCATCCAGACTCTGCCTGCCTCGGAAGCTCTCGCTGTACCATACTCACTATATCGAGATGGCCCTTTGGATCAGAACACCCGCCTGCCCACCTGGGGTGGTTAATTGTCAACACTTATTGTTGGGTGGTCCACGGCTGTGCCAACCCTTGCTTCCCTTCCATAATCTCTGTCTTAGTGAATGGCAGTGCCGTTCATTGGTTCACCTATCCCAGAACCATCCAAGTGGCCCTTCATTGGTTTCCTCCTTCGCTCTCTCTCATCCTGTGGGCATCCCTGTGTGGTGTCCGACTCTTACATCAGATTTGGATGGTTTTTTCCTGAGCTCTATTGCTGTGCTTGTCTGATACGTCCTCTAGTCTCTGCGCTGTGCCAGACCAAGCCATGCTCTGTGTTGCTGCCCAGGCCTTTCTAGCACGGGAGTCTAACCAGGTCCCAGGTAGTTCTCAGGATAAAGTCTTGCATATCTTGGCATCGTTTCTATGTCAGGTACCTGTGGCTGCGGAGCCACACACCTTAAATCGATGGCTCACTGCAGCAGGGATGTCTTCTGCTCCTGTGGGTTGGCAGGCGCTGCTGCTAGGCACAGGCTAGGATCCGTGTGCGGTCCATGATGGATATTGGTTACTGATAAAGATCATCAGTTCCCCTTTACCTCAGTGTTCAGAAGGCGACAGCATCTTCCTTACAGCACGGCGGTAGGGCAGCTGCATTCAAGGGAGGAGGGCTTAGCTCTAGAATTAGAAAGAATATCACTTCTGACATGGTGTGTTGGTCAAAACCAGTAACAAAGCCAGTAGGGTTCATGGTGTGTTGACAGAGCCCCTCCCCACCCCGGGAGGTCTGTGACCATGGCTATGGATAGGGTGTAGTTCCCACAGTTCCATATGACCCAGACACAGGTGTCCACCTGCAGAGGGTACTTTTCTGGGAGTTGGCAAACTTCACACGCCCCTTCCTTTTGCAAGACCTAAACAGAGTATATCAGAGCATACCCTTGAGTTACAGTAGGGGTGGTGTCACCCACGTGACATGAGGAAGAAGGTGTTGTCTGAGCACATTCAAGAAGGAAGCTGCCACAGAACGAACAAACATGCCAGCTGCCATGTCCCATAGATCAGCGTACAGTGTTGTCCCAGAGATTTTGGAACCCTCGCTTCACCTAATATGCCAAGAAGCTTTTTGAAATGCATCACTGGGGCAGGAGAGAGAGAGAGAGAGAGAGAGAGAGAGTGTGTGTGTGTGTGTGTGCTCTCTGTGTGCCAAGTGAGTGATATTTTCCTGAGATCACCAAATTTCTTACAGTAGTTATGAGTACGAGTCCCATTTAGCTCACAGGAAAGAAACTAGTCTTAAAGATTTATGTAGCTCATAGCAAGGACATATAGCCAGGCAATAAGTAAAAGGAAATTCAGTCAGTCTGCTTCCCAGAACTCCTTCTCTGCTGGTTCTGACAAAGGTCTTTGGGGGCCTAAATGATAGTGGTGGCTGTGGGGATGGGGGTGGCTGTGGGGGGCTGTGGGGGGTTGTGGTGTGGTGTGGGGGTGGATGTAGTGAGCAGGGATATTATATCTAAAAGGCATATGAGAGTAGGGGCGAGCCGACCTTCATGGCAATGTCTGATGAGGGAAAGGAAGGTGTGGAGTTTGTCCGCATGAGACACAAGTGTAGTCCAGCTGTGACTGTGTTGTCCTAAGACATCCTCAGGGGCCTTCAAAAAAGTTAGAAGCTGGAGCCAGAAGTCTAGGAACAAGAGATGGGGAGCAGCGTTAAGCAGGCCTGGACCTCCTGGGCACACAAGCTGTAGTTGTGGGAAACAGAAAGAATGTGCTCTGGGAGAGAGCGTTGCTGGACTGTATTTCAGTCATGGGCAACCAGATGGAGGCAGAGAGGAAAGTCAAAAGAACAGCTCCCTGAAAGGAAGGGAAGGCCGTCCCGAAAGGAGGCCAGCCAGAACTGTTCTCACAAGCGTTTGGCAACAGTAGGCCCCAACTCCAAGGACAGCGATGGGAATCGTTTTCTATTAGGCCATGTTGACACTGTGAGAGCAATTAGTGAGTGTACCCAACTGTAAAGCTCTCTGTGGTGGAGAAAACTCAGGCCGAGGAGGCACTCTAGGGTGAAGAGAAAATATTTGCCAATCACGTATCAAGTAAAGAGGTCGTGGTCTCCAAAGTGTGGAAAGAGATCCTGCAGCTTGGGAGCAATAGCAGTAGTAATATGTAATCAGTAGGAAGTTACAGTGGTACAGCCATGATCTAAGGCAGTGTGGCGATTCCTCCAAAACATTGAAAGTGCCACACCACCAAGTAATTCCACTTCTGAGTGCTAATTTCAGAATTTAATACCTGTATCATTCACTGTGGCCAAGCTGTAGAAACACCCTGAGTATCCATGGACAGATGAAGAACATGCTAGCGTGCGTGGGAAGCGCTAGGGCACGTGCCTGCAGTCCCAGCTACTTGGGGGGCTGGAGCACAAGGATGGATGGAGTCTGAGGACCTAAGACCAACCTGTGCAACACAGCAAGACTGTCTGCCCCGTGGCGTCTTACAACAACCAGAAATACAAAAGACAAAGGAAAACGTGGTATATACACGGGACGGACAGCCTTCAAAAGGATGCCCGGTGAGATGGCGCAGCCGGTAAACGTGTTTGCTACCCAGCCTGATGACTTGAGTTCGGTATCTGGGAGTCTCATGGCGGAGGGAGAGAGAATTGCCCTTTGACCTCTACTAGCACGCCACCTGGAGCACACCCGCACACATGCATGTGCGTGCACACACAGTAAACAGTGGATGAACTGTGGGGCATTGTGCTCAGGGGCCTCAGCGAGTCCCCGAAAAGCAAAGACTCTGTGATAGTAGGCATCTGAAGTAGTCAGGTTCAGAGACGGCACGGTGGAACGCCGGTAGCTACTAGTGGCTGGGGAGGGAGAAACGGGGGCGTAGTAATCTACAGGTGTGACGTTTCCCTCAGGGCGAAACCTCGCAAGAGCTGTGCACGGCATTGTACCTGGAGCCTGAGTCCAGGGTGGTTTATGCTCAATAGTTTTTCAGGTTTATGTGTAAAAGTTGGTCAGGCTCCAGCAAGACTGACGCCATGTGCACACACAGAGACCGTGACAGCGTGCACAAACAAGACCTGCACAGTTCAGGCCACACAAAATCCCATCACTGAGAAGAGGGAGCAGGTGCGAGTCCTACCCCTAACCCAGAAGGCGTTTGCTCTTGACACCTGCTGGGAAAGGGAGACTCTGTTTTCTTTAATGGAGTGACACCTTCCAGCGTAGTTCCATGTTCAGGAGTAGGTGGCCACCACAGAACAGACTTCAGACTTCATCTGTGTGGGGTTTTTTTTTCGGGGGGGGGGGGATGTTGCTTGTTTTGTTTTTCAGCTTGTTTTTTTTGTTTGTTTGTTTTTTGTAGAGAGAGTCAGAGACACACACAGAGACAGACGAACGCAGAACATGAGCTTGGGAGGGTAGGGAAGTAGGCAGAATTTAGACGTTTGGGAAAGAGGAAGAATATGATCTAAATATATTGTTTGGAAAAAAATTAAAGCCAATTTTAAAAAGTTTGTTGAGCAGTTGGATGCCATGTTGCAATTCTTACCACAATGAACTGAAAGTTTGGGGGGGGGGGGAACTGAACAATTGGAAGGGTAGCAAGAATAAATGTAGGACGATGCGCCTGCTACAGAGTTAAACTGACCAGAAAAAGAAAAGGAAAGAAATGTATAAAGTGAATCCAGTAAAACTGGAACGCTGCCCGAGGACCGTGAGACAGGAAGAAAGGGGAATTGGATAAGTAGGGAGCCCTTTTCTTGGGACGCCTTTGTACTGAGACATCCTTAGAATCGGGTTTCTCCTGAAGCCCCTGCCCTGGGCCAGGCACTGATTTCAGCACACAGGTGGAGACATACGCCTCTTGTGTTAGCCTTAAGCAGTGGTCGAAGCCCATCGATCACACCCCTGTCAGGATGGATGCACGCCTCTACCCTTCATGTCGCCATCCGTTCTGCAGACTGCCAAGTCGAGATGGAAGTGAGGGTGGGTGTCTATCACAGTTCTCAAGCCACTCTTCGGAAGCAGCGGCTTCGGTTTGGTTCTTCCGTCTGACGCCTGTGAGAGGAATCAGGCGTGTCGCTGAGGCGTGAGATGGCAGCTGCCTGGTGACATCCACTCCAGTGTGCCTCTTACTACTACCACACAGGAAGGTAAAATAGACTCACAGCATCCTCGCCCAGATGCTCTTGGAGAGGCGAACTTTAGATTTAAAGCAACCTTTAGATCTCACACAGTGGTGGGAAATTAAGAGGCGTAGTTACCAGGAACCTCCGTTTTCAAGACACGGGTGCTATTTTTAAAAATCTAAGATGGAGCTTGGTGGAGCCCCGCTATTTAGGGCTTGCTGAGGTGAACTGGGCTCAGGCCCACACAGCCGCCCCCCCCCCCCGACGGCAGTGGAAAGCCAGTCCTCATGTCCTTTGGAAGGCCAGTCCTCATGTCCTTTGGAAGGCCAGTCCTTTGGGCAATTTCACCCCAGGATCACATCCATTTGTGATCTCTTATTGACTCACGGCAGTTTG